CACAATTATATTAGCTACATCTGTCTCAATTTAAATCACAGCAATTAGACAAGCAAGGAATGGAGTTCAATACTCAAATAGGACAGATCTTGAAATAATGAAAAAAAAAGAAAGACGCAAACATTACATACAAATTAATGAACATGCTTTCGAGGACAGATACGTGTGATTTTCTCAAGTGGATATACATGAACAAAAAGGGCACGTGCATATGTAGTCTGGCCCCGTGCAAAGAAAGAGATGCACAGGATGTCTTCACAGATTTTAGCTGCAACATGGAAGGGTAATGAGAGCATCTCTCTCTGGCTGCAGTGCTCTGCAGAAACCCTCCTTTTTTTGCCCCTTTAAAAATGAACGATCGAGTGAAAACCTGATAAAAATCACAAAAAAAGAATAATGCAAGCAATATCTTTATGAGAGAAGTTCAATGCTAGAATAAAGGCGCAGGTAAAGAAGGGACAAAATATTGATTTTGAGAGACGCATCACGCAGGGCGGCCAGAACATCAGCGTGTGGCTGATCAGCCACACAGCGACCGAGAAAGCAAAGTAAATTAGTTTTTGTCGTGCAGATAGCCCAAATGCAGAGGGGGAATTCGATGAACAACTTTTTTTCTTAGGTACATTCACCTAAATGCATGCCTTTGAAACGGAGAGAGACATTTATGTGCTTCTATACAGCGTTAACAATGGACGATGTAACTTGCACCTAAGGTGGTGATTATGAAAACAGCTGCAAAATACCCCATTCCCTATGGACGTAGAAAATAGAGCATGAGGAAAAGAAACATGCAATTAAAATACCTTCATCCCTTGGTCTGTTCATTGTAGACTCATCATGCTTTTTTGTGAGTGGACCTGAGGTTTAGAAAGAGGAAGGAGAGGAGACAAAAGATATAATTCAAAAACATTGCATTTGAGGGAAAAAACAAGAAATGATTTAAAGAGAGAAATAGGCAAACTGTGAGCTCTGTTTCACCTCAGTGACTGCATGCACGGATTACACACTGTTTTCCTAAAAAGATAACCCCAAAGTCATTGGTTTTAACTGCTTGGGATCTCGTCAAGGGCTGCTTTGTAAATAACCCCAGAGGCCGTTTCTCCTCGGTCCCCTTTTCCCAATCAGTCCAGACACATTGCTGCTTTGTAAAGAAAAATCAATGAGGAGAATCAAGCCATTCTTGGGTCAGAAAAAGCAAAAGAATGCCAAGATACCGTGTGCCCTGCTCTAGATCAAGCCAGAGAACTGGACCGCAACACTAGCCTGGATAAACACATACGGGCAGATGAACGCGATATGCAGGGTTATAAACTAAAATCTGAGCATTTATGAGTGATTTAGACAAGACTGAGCGGTTTGAGATATTTACGCCTCCTGCGAAGGCCTGCAAGAGGCCTCCCCTTATCAAGGTCAAAGTGGAGCCCCCCCATAAAGCTTTAATGGCGACGCCAGTTAAACGCTCCGTAGGGCAGAGCCAATAACAGGCATTTATCACGGCGACTAACCAATGCCCTGCCACGTCAACCTCTGTTAGTCCTAAGTGATAAGGATACCGTTAATTCACTTTTCTTAGATTCTGACAGCAGCGCTCTCCATCAGCAATTAAGCACTGCCTTTTGTGTGGTGCTCAGCTCCAGCCTACAAGTCTTCAAAAAAGTAATTAAATACATTCACGTTCACACTCTCAGCCCCCCCCCCCCTTCCCGCAAACATCAAATGTCCACACGCCACGCAAAGCATGTTAAAAGCGTCCTTATCATCTGTTGATGTCCTCCTCATACCTACCCAGCAGCACGTTCTCTGTTTTTCCGATGGGGAGGCTTTGCGGCCTCTCGTTTAAAAAAAGATCGCTCTGTGTTGAGTTGCCAAGGAGTTTATCGCTCGGCCGGTGTGCCGCTGATATGTCTGTTTCTACACTATTGCAGCAAACCTCACAGTGAGGTGTTGGCATGTAGGCCTTCTCACAGGGGCCGTGGATTTATCGACGGAGGGGAGACATAGCTATACAGCCCTCCGCCATCGCGATGCCCCGTTTCCAACCATCCGTCTGCATGAATATGGTTTCCTGATATAAATTGTTTATCGTCCGTCTTAATGGGTTCGAATCAATGCTGAGTGGATTTGTTGCATCCTCTCAGTACCACCCGCACAAGCGCCCAGTCCAGAAAGCACTTGCTCCCATAGCAGGAGATGGGGAAGCCGTTGGTACTGAGCTTACAGAGCAGACAGGTGGACGGAAGGACCAGTAATGGTCGGAAAAGGCCCATTAGTCCTTTGTCTTGTCAGCACTCCCTCCCCTCCTTAGCAGCACTTTTAAACCACACCTTTCTGCTTAATGGAGACGACTCAGATTTCTGTTCATTTCTCAGTACTTATTAAAGAACTAAACTATGTCGGAGAGTAGGCACTGCCCAGCCTCTAATGGAGTTCAAGACCTCGCCCTCAGACTGCTCACACTGGACTTATCTGCCTGGAAGGAAGGAGGCAAAAAAACACCCAAATGATTAAAGATGGAGTTTTTACTTTTCGAAGAATTGTTTTTCAAAATGAAGCAGTCTGTCGGGCATGAATGTTATCAGCAACAATGCTAAAATGTAAACATTTTATCTGGTTTGGTATCCTAGTACCCAGTTTTTCTTACATCAGACAAATGACAGTTAATATAACTTACAAATGTTGCCCTGATTTTAAAACACTCAGTGTTGAAGTTGTTAGAATAAATTCTCCAGAGGGTTTATGGGCCAGCAAGATGAACCAGAGAATTTAAATGATCCGAATCAATCTTTGATGACAGGAAAACAAAAAAAAGAATGTTCCATTGGCTCAGTGAGCCACAGGTTTGGGGGAAGTTTAATTCAGTAGTTAAGCTGTATGCTGTATGTGAATCTGAATCAAATAAAGAAGCTGTAGTCGACAGACTTAATAAATAGGCTGCCCAGATTGACAATAAACCAGTAAACTGCTGAAGCAGTCCTTTGAGATTTTTGGGAGCATTTGTACAAATCGACAGGTAAAGCCTTAAGACGTGCAAATAACTGCTCAACATTCAGTTCATCAAGGTTGTAGTAAAATGAGAATAATTCAATCCTTGAGGTAACTCCAAGCTTTTGAGGGTGCAGTAGCTTTTACAGGTCGTCGGTCTGTGAGAAAAGACTCATTGAAATCTCATTACCTCGCATTTCTCTTGAGAAACTTTTTCACTCGATGTGGCATTGTCTCGGTTTTCAACCAAGCCGACGTAATTGTGTCGAATTATGCCGTTTCAAAATGACCATGGAGTGCGTTCACTTTGTGGCACATCAGCTTTAGTTATGCGAGTGTATTTGATAAAGAGAGCTGTACAGGTGCAATAAATCCTGCTTTGCGAAGCACCAGAAGATATTTTGCAGCAGATTAGACTGGCAAATAGACTTTTAAGGTAATATACCTCATTTAACAACAACTGCATGCATTTATTTGAAGTTAAGCTGTTTCCTCAATTTATGGCACTGCATTGGCCCACTTTGCCTCATAGCTGCCAGGGGGTTTGGGGGGGGGGTATAAAACAATTTTTTTTAAAGAGTTGTTTTCTTGTTGTTTTTTAACAGTCTTTTTTTCCTCCGCATGCATCATAAATATATTTCCAGACCTTGATAAGTGGGCTTTGATGTGGTAATTACATATGATACAAAAATGTGAAAGAAAATCTGTGCCTATCACTTCCCTCATGTGCTTTTCTTATTTATTTTTTTAAGCTAATGATGAAACTGTATTCAAAGCTCAATGGGTGGGCCAACTTACCCCCTGACTCATCAAACCCCACTCTCCTCTTAGAAATTTGAGATATTTGAAAGGCTTAATTAAAATTTCTGTCGGGCACATGAAGTGTGCAGAACAAAAGTCAGGAAAATCCATCAGAAAAGTTGGTGGAGATATTTCACTAAAACCAAAATGACATATAAGTGTCCCCACACATAAAAGTCAGCGGTGACTTAAGACCAATTTGCTCCCACAGATATGCATGAACGCCTGAATAATTTATGGCGGAGGCCCATAATGTGTCAAAATGATGTTGTCCTGCGAAGGAAAGCAACAAACTCATCCGCTTTTGTTGGTTAGCGGGGTGGTGAATCTAATCCCCAACAACAGTTACTACGCTTTTGTAAAAAGGTCAGAGATGTTATATGAAGTCAATTTAAATGACCGTAAAATATAAGGTCCATTGTTTTTCTCTCCAGGCTGCACGACATAAACTATGATGATACGTTTGGTGTTCTGCGGAAGTATCCGTCTTTAGCTTTAAACAAATATTGCAGCACATTAAGGAGGAATATAAAGTAAGTCGAGAAAAAAACAATATATTGCATCTGCCTTTCGGACAGAGGTCTGCCAGCAGGCCGACGGCCACATGATGTAATGGGCCACTGGTGGGTGAAATTCAATGGCCTATGCAGGGGCATTTAGCTCGGGCGGTCCCAGGACTGCTTGACCTAATGCGGTTCCATCTCTCAGTCAACTGCGTTTTCTCCTCAGTTCAGTGAACAAGTGGCCCGAATGCAAGCTGTCTCCCGTCCCTCTCCATTTCCTCAGCGCAGTAAACGGGGGTGAAGCTGCAGTATGTCATGCCTGTGGTGGCCCTTCTACTTGACAAGGTGTCAGACATAACCCCCGCCCACCCCCCCCCCCCCCCCCCCGCCCCTCCATCCATGCCCCCTCCCGTCTCGTTCCCTGAAATATGGTTTTTAATAAAGTGCACGGTAAATGGCTGCTCTAGTGGCAATAAAAATGAAAGATCTCAGACCTTTTGCCTGGGGAGTGTCTTGAGGAAATAGGAACGCAGCGAGACAGTTCTCTAGCCCTAACAACCTGTCCACGCGTGACTGTCGCTGTCAAACACGAGAAGAGGTGGCGAATGATAAAAAGAAGGGAGCGAGAAAAAACTCATGTTTCGGCCTAAGAGAGCGTTTGTGTTATTTACATTTTGCCGAGAAGTTATTTGAATTTAATTTGGGTTGAGCAGGCTACATGGTGGCTCGGTGGGGAAGGGCACCGAGCTCATTTGCATTCAGAACATTGCCCCTTTCTACTGACATCTGCATAAAGATGGAGGAGTGTGGAGAGTGGAGGGAGGAGGCAGGGAAGGTTTCAGGAAGGACAGAGCAGGAGGGGTGAACAGATGTAAAAAGAAAAGAAGGCTTTGAATTTCTTTTTATCTACGGAGGAATGTCAAAAACACGGACGGCGAGTATTACTGTCTGCGAAGTAGACATAGAAATAGTGTGCGACTTAAGTTAGAATGTGAAGACAATAAATAATGTTGTACTCCGAGGAGGAGATGTGTAAAGGTCAAGCCATGCCAAAAAAGATCTGGCATGGACCGCTTTGATCAATGCTTGTATGAATCTTTGATGCCACTTCATTATAAGCCCACCAACATCTGCCCTTCAAGCTTACTGGAACAACATTTAGAAAAACCTAACCTATCGCGGCTATGATTAGCTTAAACACTACTTAGAGTCGCGTTAGGGGCCCTTGTGAGGTCACACCTACAGTGGACACAGCGGTGCTTTTAGCACATGCTAATTTTTAAATGCCCTCAAAATGGCCATTTAAACAGTTTCTCTGGTATGATAATGTCCCATTTGAATGGATATCTTGGCATGCTGACATTTGCAAATTACAACTATCGCATAGGGTATGCGGCAATAATAAAAAATCAGCGTTTGGAGATAATGATAATGGTGAAAAAAATCTAAACCACAGTTAATAATTTGAGTGTGGATGTGATGGTATCAGATTTTTTCCTTTTAAGAGGGGTTACACAAAAATGTCAACCCCTAGTTGGCTAGAGACAATGTAAACTAGAATGAACACAGTGCATGCAAGCTATTTAGGTAATAACTAGTTACGCATCTTTATTTTCTGAGCCTGCAAAGCGGTTATTTTGTGTTGATGTTTGTGAATGGGTTTCACAGGTTCACAGCTCAGTCCTATCTTCCCCTCCAACATTATAATATTTCATGTAAATTTTTTAGGTTTACCAGAAGCTGGAGGTAAATCATTCTATGTTTAGCTAAATGTGCACCATCTGAGCTGAGCATACCAGAAAAATATAAACAAAAACACTTTTCATTAACTTAAATTAGGAAAGTTAGGTAATAAAGTGCTTATTTACAATGGCTTCATTTTAAATCTATCTAAATTTTCCATACCCACTTTATCCAATTCAGGGTCACAGGAGGGCTGGAGCATTTCCCAGCAGCCATTGCACGAAAGCCACCGTCTACCTAAGATGAATCATCAGTACTTTCAGCTAAAACGCATTTCTATATTTTTTACAGTTAAGGTAGCCTTGGCAGCAATAGCTACCTTAAGTCTTATTGGGAATAAGCCAATCCACAAGATTGAAACAGCTTTGGTTTGGAGCTTGTTATCATTCCTCTTGGCAGAATTATTCCCGTTCAGAGGGGCTGGACGGGGATATTTTCAGGTCACTGTTAATATGTTGAAATGGGTTCAGATCTAACTCGGCCTGGTCACTCCAGTTTTCCTAATGCTACTCCCATTTTCTTTGAGCGATATGCTTTTAAGAAAAATGTTCTAAAAAGTTCTCTCTCTGACTTTTGAAGACTTTCTCTATCATCCTTCATTACATCCCGACCAGAGTGCTGGAGCAATCACTGCACATTTGACTGCAGGTTGGTATTTAAAAGGCGATTTTTTAGACTTCCACTCAAACGGTGTCAAGAATTTGGACCGTTTTTTTTGTTCAATCTCCCGGTGGCGACGTCCTGTTCATTTTTCTAAAGGAATGGCTTCTGTGTGACCACTCTACCAGAAAAGCCTGATAGGGGGAGTGCTGCACTGACTGTTAGGCTTTTGTAAAGTTATCTCATTGATGCACGTCCTCAAGAAGCACGCTGTAAAACTGGTCAACCTGATTCAACCGCCGCTCTAACACGGTGTAAACATTTGGAGGGCCCGTGACAATGACATGTGAAACATCTATTTGATTTTAGGAGCACTTTCCTCTATCCTCTCCGTTTTTATCTCACATACAAGGCAGAGCATGTCCTTGGAGACAGCATCTGCTTTTCTGTAAGCGGTGACCCCTGGCAATAAGCGACAGATTCTGACAAGCAGACAGGGCTACATGTAAAATCTGTCTCACTCATTTGCACACCTTTTCCCCAGAGAATGACACAGAAGGCTAAGCATCATCCTCTCAGCAAGTATATGACATGTGCGGCATTAAGCATACAAACCATACAACTATGAGCCCTCATTGTGTGTAGTCTCTAATGCGTTTAAAGGGATTAAAGGCATTTAACAATCAATGTTTCTCCTCTCTTGTGCAATGATCTCTCTTTACACCACAGTAATACTCCTATTTTCAACTACCACATAATCTGTTTCTGCATTTTTGTTGGCATTTGAAGCATTAATCAATGAAATTACTTCTCATTTGCAGCTTAGTACTGAACTATAACAATGCTGTACATCACTTGAGTACCGATCCAGGAAGAAGACTTAATTTGCAAAAGCTATAATGTGTAAACATGCGCTTTACTACACTAATGTTATTTCACCTGCCCTCCAAATGATTATTATTGCACTGTTTGTTTATTTAATTGATTTAACCCCACAAGCTGATCTAAAGTTTATTTGTGGGTACAATAACCTGACTGCTTTAGAGAGCATCCTATGCTAAGAGACAGGGTTTCAAGTCAAAATATCAAAATAAACTGTTTGTCACATTTTTGAAAAACCTCCTAAAATGACCAAACTGTTATAAGTGAGTTGATCACTCTGAATTTAGTGACATTACCACGCAAAAGAGACACAATTCCAATGTTTTAAGCTAATCTAATTCTTATAGGTTTCTCATCTTTTTTACAATGGCAATGAGTTTTAGTCATCGTGTTTGTCAACAGTTTTAATAAATGTAAACTGTTACGCATGCTGCTTAAGGATAAAGTGTTAAAAATCTATTTGACAATATACTGCCAAAATAAATAAAATCTATTAGAAGAATGTGTTTAAAATCAATAAATAAGTTGATATGGAATGCTACATTATCCTTAAGTAAATGTAAGATTTGAATCAGTAAAAGCTCAGCCATAGAAATGTGTCTCATTCATTAACAGAGAATTACCACAAGGAAAACAGTATGTGACTGTGGTCTAGTAAATACATTTTTTAAGTGATTTGATTTAGTAATAAGCTATAATTGAAAAGGGACCTCATTCAAGCCCAGGAAATTGTTAGCTTTTAGTCTTTGGGATCCTCCTGGGTGTCTTTGGCTTTACATTGTGGGCTCCTCTTGCACAGAATGATCAAAATGACTCTACTCCAGCAAGTACTTGCCCAGATAATACATTTTCAAATAAAACAAACCGTCCCCGTACTGTGAAGCGACTGCGACGCAGACAAATTCTGTTTTTCCTAATTATAAAATAATGTAAAAACGTTTGCAGTGACATCCCCCCCGACTCGATTTCACAATCACCCATCCATAATGGAAAGAAGACAGATGTTTCGGAGAGAGACGTCTCTCCTTCTGACTCACCGTCCTCTGTGGGTACATAAATATTGAGGTAAAGGCAGTCTTCGCTCTGGTTCTGAACGTAGGTGGCGGCGGCATCCAGGTTGTCCGTGAACCACACCGGCAGCATGATCTCTGGTAAAACCCCGTGCACGTTCTGGGGGCACACGGGCGCAAAATGGGTGGCATTGCGAATCTCCTGCCAGGAGCCTGGGGCTTCGGGCGGCTGGAACCGCCGCTCGCCTATGGGGGCGGTGGCATAGGGCACGCCTAGGTACTGTTCCACTGGGCCTAAGATCTCGTTGTTGAGCTCCTTCCTGATGCCACGGACCTTCCCGTAGCCCGTGGACACTACGGGGTGCTTCAGGTCAACACGCTGAGAGGAGGTGAGGGTCAGGTGCAGGACCAATCCCAGGAGCCACAACAGGCAGGGCCTAGCTACCTGTCGAGAAGCATTAGGGCGCTTCCCACCGCAGCCTTGGAGGCTGGCAACATTTAACGGAAAAAGCAACATGTCCAAAAACAAAAGCTATCGCACTCGATTCACGGGGACTTCAGTTTGGACCAGAGGGGAGTCTCTGACTCAAGGAGATGTAAGAAATGACAAAGGCCAAAACGGGAGTGGTGGAAGTGGACCAGTCGACGGTGTTTCTAGGATAACATGGCGAGGCGGAGGAGGGACAGGCAGCATTCTCAGGTAGACTCATTCGTCGCCTCATTCGTCTTCCTCTTTCAAAACTCCTCGGAGGTCTAACGCAGCAGCCAGGATGCCGGTTTAGTCTGAAAGACACAGATGTTGTGGTTGCAGTTAGCATTTAAACCAGTTATGTTATGAGTTCTTTAAAAAGACAAAAAGGCGTGCTTGATAAACGGATTATACCAAAAATGGAACCCCTTTACTTAACAAAGACAGCATAAACTGTTACAGTTTACCTCTTTATAGCCCTTTGAGAATAAAATTAAAGCACAAACATGTCAGTTTAGTTAAAGCAAACTTACTTTATGTTTAGTGAAGATGAGCAAAATCCTACTATGCTACTTGACTGTGCTGAATTTGGTTAAAACTATTGAACCTTTAGTTAATATGCAATGAACATGTATCTCTTCTGTTATCATTTTGAAAAATAGAGGGTCATTTTGAACTTTAAAGACATGAGAAATTGTGCACCAGGTTAATTTGTAACAGTTAAGTAATTTACACATTTTGATAAATGAAGAAAAAGTCTACTCCAGACAATTTTTGCAATATAAGCAGCATTTCCAAGATTTTATATTTTGTAATAAAAGTCTCAAATCTGCCAGAGGACCTGCCATTTGTTGCCGTCTCTGAAGGTAACCCGAATACCAAATGGGCACGGAGCAACATATGCTGCCTTCTGATGCCATTCTCTGTTTTTCAGAAAGATGGTGCCAAATTGTGTCACAACAGTGTGTGTGTGTTCGTTCAAAGAGTCCGGGTGCTTCACTGACCTACCCACAGTCTAGAACAGTTCGAATATATGGATGTCCTGATAAAGTATGAACTCTTTAATGCAAATCAGACTGGAATTAATATTGGCTGTTTTTAATTAATGCGCCACACTCTATCAATGCGTCTCCTCTTTCACTACAATGTGTGTATTGTAGCAATATTGCAAAATATCTCATTTTTCAATCTTTAGCGTAATTATGGAAATTGAACGGCAGGACAAGACTTGCCTGGTGATTCTGATCGGCATACAGAGAGCACAAAACAAACACATGTCCGCAAATCCGTTTAGGAAGTCAACAAAGAAACCCTCACTGGGCCCTGCTCCATTTCCAGTCATCTCCACTGTGTTAGTCGCTCTTTCCCTCCAAACTCAATTCAGTTGACTCTTGCCTCCACATCATTACAGTTGAATGGGCTGCGCTTATCTCACTCTGGCTTTGGGAGACAGAGGTGTTTAGGTGTGATAAAGGCTTTATGTGGTGCTAACTGTTGGTTGAATGCCACCTCATCACTCCAACTTCGACTCTCGGGTATCCACAGCTCCAATCCCAGTCAGAGAATGGTGTCGCAGAGCAACTTCTGAGGATGTCTAAGGTTAGTGATGTGAGTGGTTCTCTCCCTCTCCATTCAAATTTTTAAAACATGGGTGCTCTGGAAAGATATTCAGCTTATTGAGCCCTATGAGCTCAACCATCCAATCACAAGCCGTCCACTCTGAAACAAAGTTCAGACTTGTAGGAGTTCAGACCTGATTTTTTTTTCTAAAAGTGAGAATGGATATGTAGTCTAAAGTGGAAAACTGCATAAACACAGGGCACAATTTCAATATACAGTAGAACCTCTACTTACGGTTGCCTAAACATATGAATTTTCCAACATACGAAGAAATATTCGAACAAATATTCGACTCAACATCCGAAGTAAATTTCCAATGACGTTGAAGTCTTGGAAAAAAATAAATATATAAAAATTCAATAAAAACACCTTCATTCCCCAGTCTCTAAGGTAAAGTGCCAATAAAAAGCCCTTCTTATTGAGTGTTTCTTTATAATTTACATCTCTCTTATATAATGCATTGTTTTATTGCTATGTGTAATCATCCGCAGTATTTATTAAGGAGTTATTGTAGGTTTTGGGGCTGTGGAACGAATTATAAAAATCACAGTGTATTCTTATGGGAATATTTGAACCAACATATGAATATTTTAACATATGAAGTAAGTCCCAGAACGAATTAAATTCGTATTTAGAGGTTCTACGTGTTTACTGTTGAACAGGATGCATCTTTTCACCCGTGCTGTCTAAAATTAGGTGGTGGGCATCAGTGAGAGTTCAGGATGAGGCTTTTTCTCTGTTCTTTATCAGTCCTGTTGAGCTCAGATTTACAAAAGCTCTGTTTCCATCCTTCTTTTTGTGAGCCTTTTCTAATTGGACTGACAAACAACTGATTGGAAATGCTGAAGACAATAATAAGACAAAAAGAAAAAACAGTTGAAATACTTCAGCTCAAGTGGACAGCTTTTATATGTAGATCAAATTTAAGTGGACTCAGTTCAATGAAAACAAATTCACTGAATAATTGATGATGTAGAGAAGAAACAAGCTCATTTTACTGTTACTCTTTCGAGGGCCGACAGTTTTTATATCAGTTTTTCAAACGTCTAAAATTAAATTGAGTCTCTGTCACAATTTGTCACACTTATCAGTCATTCGCCTTTTGTTTTCCTTTTTCGGGGTATGACTAACGACTTAATAATATCAATACAGTTGTAAAGGAAAAAATCTTCACAATAGTATTTAATTTAGCTTACTTCCTAAAAGTCTTGTTTATTTAGAAACGCCGGCTATGAATCTATTTGAGGGGATTCTATGATTTTTTGCAGCAGGAGGAGTTTTTACAGATTTGTCCATGTCTGAAATTTGGATTTCCCTCTTCAAATGAATTATAAGTGAAAAGAAGCAGTTTGAATTGTCAATAAAAGCTTAAAATGCACACACTGAAGGTTGAAAAGACAACACAGACCCTTTTAGTCTGGGGTGGAACTGGTGGAGCATGTAATACAAAAAGAGAATTCTCTTATTTTGTGCAGAAAGTTGGGAAAAAAAGAGTGCAGACTGAACTTATTAAAAAATAACCAAACACACACCCATAACAAAGCAAAGATCCTCTGGTGGCAGTGGTCTGAGATGGTCTGAAATACATGACAGATGCCGACCCCACTCATTTCCCACATTCGCAACATTTACGTTCACATTTTTTGGTTTTGGAGGAGCCATCTGTGTTTGTATTCTGCTGGTAAATGGGAATGAGCATATGGCACAAGCCCAAGGTCAGAGCACCTTTAGTATGCACAGAGGATGCACGCCGAGGTATGTTCCTCCCTACTAGGGCACCATAAGAGGGTCGAATGTTTGTAGTCTGTCGGATTGGTCTCTCCGTCCCCGGCGTCCTCGCACGCACTGGCAGCGATGCAGACACACATGCGTAAAGTTCAATGAGGCGTCAAACGTTGCATGTCAGTGGAGACTCTCGGCAAGCACAAATGAGTCTGATCTCAACCCCTCGTATGTGGCTTGCAAATGGTAGTACCTTAACATCCGTAACATCTGTTCGCGTCAACCATCCGTGAGCTGGAACTGCTCTGAAGTGCGTCTCCCACATGAAACGGGATAAGGCGACACACAAATCACGAGGCTAATGTGGGCCGTTTTCTGCCCTGTTTTATGTATGTAAAAAAGACAGTCCTGCTGGGTAACGCCTCGCTGCTAATGGGTTATGGCTATGTTTACATTAAATGGTAAGAGAAAACATGATCCTATCAGAGTTAATGAACCTCTAGAAGCGGCGCGATTGTTTTTTTATTGATACAGTAAAAATATAGCTGTGATCCATCCTCTGCTGGTTATGTACTGGTATCTGTCATAAAACAGTTTGCATTTCTTTTTTTTCTTTTTTCGGTGCATAAGAGCGTCGGAGCAAAGTCTTACTTCTGGTCACCAGCCACAACAGTGTAGGAGGCAAAGTTTTTTCGAAAGCGCATCTATTTTTTGCATCGTCAAGGCAAAACGTGGCCTTACAAATGCCCGAGGTCAAACGCATCAACAATAAGTGCAGACAAAAAACCCTGTGCACACCATTTCCTGCCAAACAAATTCATGTTTGGAAAGAAAGACTGTGCAGTGAGCATGGCGCATCAGACACGTTCCTCTGAATGTGCACAACAGTGTTGAGCAACGTAATGTAGACATGAAGCGGTGATGGTAATAGAACAGAATGTGCAATGGCGAATGGAAGGTGGAAAGTAGCATTAAAAAAATCACTGTTTCGGATTTTCTGGCAAAAGATTGTCAAACAGGCTTTTTTTTTACGTTTTAAGGAAAGCAGCACACACACAACGGCCCATCTGTGTCTCCCTCCTGATCATCTCCACACAGACTTTATACTGTACTGGCTGTGCGCTCATCCATTACAAATAAAACAGGAGTTGTCGGTCCTCCGTTGGGGCTCTGATGTGATGTGTGAGCTGATGCGCGTTTTGGACGCTGGTTTACAATACAAGCACTTCTTCTTTCTTTTTTTTTTCTCCTTTTTTTTTATAGGGTCCACTTCTTTTTTGTAGGGTTATTTGTGCTGAATCTACCAAGCTGATGGCTTATTACTTTTTTAAACCAGACATTTTTGAGGTTGCCCAATAAAAGTGATACTTGCTCCTTTCTGCTTTAATGATGCAAACCTCAACTCTGTTGCTTTCATTTTCATGCTTACCGAGGTGTGGCGTGCATGATGTCATCATGTGCAAATGACAAATCAGGCTGCTGTCTGTACCCCTTAATTTGTAGATTTGTCAGAGGAAATCCTTCTCACTTTGTCAAATTCTTTGTGATTTAAAAATAAAACCCATGCTTGAAATAAATCAAGAGGGAACTGAGACGTGTGCGCAGATTGTTTTCACGTTCAACCCCCCGATCCACACACAGTTTTATGCGTCTGACCCCGGCTGTGGCTGAAACTGG